GGGGGCTGGGTCGGGAGCTGCAGGCGATGCACGAGGAGGGAGATCGCAGAGCCAGACTATTCTACATGACAGGTATGCTGGATCCGGCGGCTCTCCTCCTCTCCTCATACTCCGCAGGAGGGATCCTCTATGTGCATAGGAATTTGTTCATGTTTTTTTCAAACTATAGTCCAGCCCACCAACATTCTGAGGGACCGTGAACTGGCCCCCTATTTAAAAAGTTTGAGGACCCCTGGTTAAAATCAATTAAAATAACAATATACAATAAACTTAATAAATAGAAAATAAATAGATCCAAGGATAGATATAAAATTGGCAGTCACTCAGGGAACATCATCAAGGTGCCAGCCACCCCCAGGATTGGGTAAAGACCCCATGCAAATTGGCAGAGCCTGGTCTTTAATTCTTTCCGGAAAGCCGGGAGGGTAGGGGCCTGCTGCACCTCTGGGGGGAGAATATTCCAAAGGGCGGGGTTAATGGCAGAGAAGCCTCTCCTCCTGGATTTTTGGATTTTTCAATAAATAAATTGTGAATTTATCTAAACTATACCTAAAATCTTATCTTTTTTATTTGTACAGGCCACCAATTTCAAGCAGTGGACAAATGTTTTTTTTATCTTTCAGTTTCTTCTTTCTTGTGTGCTGGGGTAAGAAATCTTGGACAAATAATCAAGTAATGAGTGGCATAGGTTTGCATCTTGCAAATCCTGCTCCTTCTGTATAATTAGCAAATGAGATAACACTAAAAATGAAAGCAACAACATAAGAAGAAGGGAGATCCAGTTGATTCGTGCAGTGTTCTCATTGTCTGTCTTTTGTATCACGCTGCACCACATCTTGAGAACCATCTCTTTTATTAAGGAGCAAAAAACTTCCACGTACTCTTAGATTCTTTCTCAGCATTGCTTTCTTTCTGTCACTTTCATTGACTACTTCAAAAGAACGAGAGCAGGAGTCCTTTGATAATTTGGCACATTTAAATCCTGCAGATCAGGTGATAGTTTCCAGAGGATACTTGTTGCCTTGTGAAAATGGTGGAATCAGTAGGAGCTCAGTTTTAGTTTGCCTAATTTTATATTAGATCTTCAAATGTAGCTGGTTTTAGGTTATCCTTAGGCTGTTTTAAATACTGAAACTCTGCATAAAATAGGGCAGTGAATATCGATGTAGAATTATGGCATTTATAATTTGTTTATTTGATAAAAAGCAGGAAACCAAATAATGCATTCCTTCTTATTTTTAATGGTAGGTTTCTTCTGATGTATTCTACAGTTCTCTGCAGCCATTATAATTCTGCTCTAACAACTGCAGTGGTTGGTGCTATAAAAGTAAGTAACCAAAGGGAGTTGATATTGGGTAACAGTAGCTGAGTACACACATTACACCAAACCATCAATGTGGATTGTTTGCTTTGGCTTTAGTATGATGTATGAATCTAGTTATTTAGTGTTGTATATCATAGTGTATGTCTGAGCGGGGTTGCTAAGGATTGTTAACCTATAAACCATGGTTAATAATTACATGTGTGATGTATGAACCCAGCCAGTGTTAAAACCACCTGCAAAAGATAATCCCGTGTCTTGATTACAGTTTTAACCTGTATCTCATCTATATGAATGTCTTGGTAGCAGTTTTTGTAAAACTTTTCCTAACATGAGTATTGGGAACATAGAAAAATGTGAAGATCCTTAGATTTCTAAAGAGGCCAGGAATAATTCATCCAATTATGTTCAGACAAATGTTACTTGCAGAGTCATTTTTAGTTTTTCCAAGAACATCAAGAGATGTATCAAGTAAAAGTAGGGTCCCTCTTCAAGGCATAAGGGCTTGAAAATAGATAGAGGACAGCGTGGGCACAAGTAGCAGATCGTGGTAAGATATACTTACATTCAAGAAATATGACTATACTTACATTCAAAGAAATATGTGGTGAGATATATTTACGTTCAAAGAAATATGAGTCTCTTGGTTCAACGCACAGAGGTTAGAGAGAATAGGAGTCAGGCTGCATGCATGGCCCCATCCTTTACTTACTTTCAAGCTCTCAGTTGTTCAGATAAATGACTGAAGGGGGCTCAGGACAGAATAGCATGATGTACAGTCAGGTCCAGAAATATTGGGACATC